CACAAACATCCATCCATCCATCTAAACTTTCGCATTTATAATATTAGTAAGAAGTAAGACATATACTATACTATCTATACTATTATAATAAAGCGTAAACACACACTTCTTTGTTGCCTAGGATGTCAGCAATTACAGCATATTTTTGAATAATTCTTGGTTTAATAAAGAGCCCCACACTTACGTCACGCTTCAGGCTATGTATTTTTAGGCCATTAAATTTAGGGTGTAAATATTTTGGATAAAAACCCTAATGTGGGAAAGAGACTATATTGCTGCCAACATCAAGGAAGCAAGGTTGCCATGATTTGTCAGCGTGTCATGTCATTTTGATATTTTCAATTGATAATGTGACACATGTAAGGAACAAAATAAAGTTTTTATAATTTCTTGCGGATGAAGTCGCACGGGAACAGCTAGTTTTAGATGACACGGAACATCTCAAGGTTAACCATTATTTAAAACACTATAATATTCTTATTGCCAGCTTGATAGCTTGCTAATAATGGATGTTAGTTTTTTATTATTCCGGTACATTTACAGAAAGGCTCTCTGATGAACGTGAGAGTGTAACGAAATAGACAAAGGGTTTCCCGTAGAAAAAGCTCTGAGATGATAACAGATTAAAAACAATAAATCGTGTATTTCGGACCACACACGTAGCCTTCCTAAAAGCACAACAGTAAAAGGTGCTAATGCGTAATGAATACAAACGCACCATTTTTGTAAAACCAACAATCGAACTAACGCTTAACGCCATAATCTGCTTAGCTCAGTGGCGCCCTCGTGTTCTTTAATTTATTCAACCAGGGGTAGTAAACTTTTGGTCCAAAATTCATTCAACTTGGGCAAGTTAGAGTACAGTTTTGGATTTTTAATAGTATCTTTAAAATTGTATTACTTTTTCTTAATCATACTTCATACTAATGTTATAAATGCAAAAGTTTAGATGGATGGATGTTTCTTAGAGTTATCCACTTAACAGTTGAATGGATCTCGATAAAAATTGTCATACATTTAAAGTAAAGTCTTTAAGAATTAAGTAGTCTATAGCTACTTAATTTTTTTTATATATGTAATTCCACGCGGACGGAAAGGAGGGCAAAGACAAGTTTATCTTATTGCACTAAATTGTTTTTTCTGTACTATATTAGTATCTTTATTTATTGGTTTTCCCATGTCTTTAAAATGTGTTTAAAAACTACACTCCTCAATGTTAAAGGCAAACAGTTTTAAAATAGGGCAACCCTGTTAACAACCATAAGCTTATTACGGCCGTGCTTTGTTCTCTGCAACACTGCTCTAACAATATTTGTTAAAGGTAACGCGGCCAATGTAAACAAGACTAGCAACCCTCTGACATAAGTTGTATTGTTTCAATGTAGTTGATTTCTAATCTATACATATAATAAAATTGGAGCATCTGTTTGTAATATCAAAAGAGAATTCCAGATTTCGGGAAATATGTATTCAGGTTGCATCAGCAAAGGAAAATGTCATTTAAAAAATTTTTGCCTGTCTGTCTATCCGCTAGCCGTGTTTGTTCCGGGTAATCTCCGAAACGTCTGGGCCTATTTCGACCGCACTTTCAATGAAGGATAGCTTACATAGACGTGCATACTATAGGCTACTTTTTAATTTTGCGCGGAAGAAGTCGCGGGCAACAGCTAGTTTAAAATAAGTCGACTATCTTACTAATTGCGAAGGTTTAGATGGATGGATGTTTGATAAAGTTTAGTCTAAACGGCTGAACTGATATCGATGATTTTAGCTTACATGTAGAGCATAGTCTGGAAGAAGTCATGTTTATTACTAATATTGTAAAGAGAAAAGATTTGTATTTTTGGATTTTTTATATATTCGATACATGTAAAAAACTGGCCCGAATTCAAAAATTCTTTCACCATTATTATTTTTAATTATTGTTTAATTTGGGCGAAGTCGCGAGTACCAGCTAGTTAATTATGTTTTAAATCCGACGTAGAAGGTGTCACAAATAACAGCTATTAGGTTATATCTATACTATAAGAGATATAATATAAATCGTTAACTAATAAGTAAGTAAATATAAATTTCTTTCAAACTGGTGACTCCAATGGTCTCAAATGGAAGCCCGATGTTCAGTTGTTTTAGGTAACTGTTTGTTTTCGAATAACAAGGCCAGCGTCTAACAAGGTGCAGTTTGTTTTGTGCCTGACAAAACGATGGTGAACACTTTGTTTGTATTGTTTAAACTCTTTAGAGAGATATAAAACCTTTTATAATGGAATTTAAAAGTACAGAAACGTTTTTGAATTAAAAAGTCAAGCGTTTCTTTAGCATTGATGGTATAACACTGAGTACTGTAACAAAACCTGTATAAAAGCAAACATTCAGATTCTATGTGAAAATAACAAACATTAACATGTGTTAGGAAAAGAGTTACGAGTTGTAATTGTAATGTAATTGTTTTCACGTTGTTAAATACGGATAATTAAATGAGAAATATAAATGTCAATTTAATCAAAGAATTAATTACTTTAATGACCTGATACTGTGGCAATTTGAATCCTGAATGTACATTTAGAGGAAAACTGAGAAGCAATTGTGAAATATTAAGGCGGGAATATTTTTTACGATTCCGCTGTTGGCGGGAAAGCAACGCACGTTTTATTACTTTGTCGCCTTAAATGGTACAGGATGTTACAAAAAATGTTGCCAAAAGTCGGCTTTTAAAACGTCGGAAATTTTTAAATAACATTGAACTGTGTCTTACAATTTGAACTCATAACAATTATTATATTTTAAACGAAGATCTTGCAATCCAGAATATTATCGAAATCAGATCATTAAACTAGGTAAGGATAATTAAATTAAAAATTAACAAGATACATTCTAAATTTTAGTAATCAAATTTACTATTTCAAATCAAACATCCTGTATGTAGCAAGAAGATTGCTAACTAAAAGCTCATTCGGAGCAGAGCAACGTCCGCGCCACAACCCCCTACTTACTATTACAACCTCCAAGTTTTTAATAAAAAAAAGTCTTTCAACTGCGCTAAATTGTCCTCGCCACTCGGGAATATGAAAGTCATTATTTAAAAAGGAGCGTCCCTTTTGCGTATTATTTCGGTATAAATTTCAGTTAAGCCGTTTTCTTACGAGGGCCTCTCGAGAGCGTCGCAGAAGGTCGTATCTGAAATTTTATTGCGGCCCGGGATTGCTGCGGCTTTTTTCCCTAGCGCAATTTATATTTTAAACAGATCTCGCCGTTGATCTTAATTAAATTCTCTGTATAATAATTTAATAGAACATCCCCCAACTTCTCGATTGTCATCGCGAAGCTTTTTATTCAAAAAATATGATTTTCTTTTCCACTCAACGTTTAATTAACGCTGATTTTCCTTTACTCAATATAACTTAGTTGTAAGATATTTTACCATTGTTTAGACAATTCAAACATCGCGCTATCAACGTAAAAGGTTGGACACGAACACGAATTTAAAATTTTACATTCTTAAATAGATTTTATAAATGAGTAAATAAACGTAGTTTAAAAAATGTTTTCTTTACTACAGTTTTTGTACCATTTTCGTTTTAAAGATTGTAATCATTTGTTTGTATGTCATTTCAACATCATTGAAATCCGGGTTGAAACACTAGTTGTAACACACCACTAAAGTCCACAGAGTAACACAGCCATTATTGTATTTTTAATTAAAACCAACGTTGATCTCTCTGTGCAATTAAATTACATTAATTGGCTAAAGGGGACGAACGTACCCCTATTTGGTTTGTAAGAACCTTCTTATTACAATGTAATAAGAACTAATTTCCCTTGACAACATTATATTTGCGAATTGATAGCGCTAATGGAGGGTTTGTAGTTTAGTTGTATTTTGAACTTTATGATGTTTGTTTTAAGGGTTATATATCGTTGGGATTTTCTCTACAAAGAGATGAGAGATATCGTTTTGATGCGATTAACCGTGGGCTAAGTGACGGGACGCTAACGACTCGATCCGAATTTCTTTTTGTTGTGCTTTTATCAGCTTGTCGGCTTAATAGGTTTGTTAACTGATAGTTGACAAGCGCATATGTCATTTGTTATTGATTTTTTACTACAAAAGATTACGAAGGTAACGCAATTTCTTTTGAAAAGACGTCCACGTCTAAAATGTCTCACTAGCAAGGACTAACTCGCTGTTTGATTAGAGATAAACAATTTTGATGAAGATCTCGCACTGCAAGGGAATATAGGGAGGGTCTGCAAATATTTTTTAGGTATAGTGGACTTTATCATGTTAAGGAACTAAACTTAAATATAATGACTTGGTTTCCATTGTCTTCAATTTTGGCAAACAGACTTCTCTAAAACCATCTTTCAATTGTCTAGAAATACATAATATCCGAAAATTATACTGCAAACTACCCACAAACGTATCTAAAGGCTCTCCGACATATATCGAACAAAATTAATTCCTCC